TCTGAGGTCTTGTCGCACTTAGATTTCTTAGTGACGAGAGATTATTATACGTTTTTTCGGTGTTTTTCATATTTTGTTCTTGAATCCTCATTTGCTCTTCCAAAGTAACGATGAGATTTTTATCTGTAGCAAATGGATAAACATTTACGAGACTAATATTTAGTGGTCGAATCGAATCGACTACTGGGATAATTTCTTCATCCACAGTTTTTATAACATACGGTTTCAATACCTGACAGCGCTTGTCCCCAATGAAGTTGATGTTACCATCACAGTAAAAAGTATCATTACAACCCAGATGAATTATACTTAATTTCTCGAAAATATGAAAACCTTTAGTTGTGCTGCAGTTTATCGGTTTTCTCGTTGACAACGCTATTACATCGGAGGCTATTTTTTCAAAATGAGGAGAACTGCGCAAAGAATTCTGAAAGCGGCAATGAAACGAACGATTGGCGGAAATCAGTTGTTCCAGACACATGTTACTGATGCGTTTTTGAACAATAGGCGGATCTCGACAAACGGTATAATCCCCAAAATCGCACATTAGCTGTTGAGCGATATCATGCCATTCAATGTACCCACCCTTGGACACACCGATAATTTTGGGTAGTCCAGAAAGTTTCGTTCCGATTTCTTTCTCAACGACGAAGAATGGCAAGGCGGTAAGTTTGTAAACCTGAATTTTGTCAAACGTATTTGTCTTAAGAACTGAAAAATATGATGTAAAAACAATATTACCGAGGTACTCTGGATAATATCCAGTGGTTTCGTTAATATGGCTTACGTTTTGTGATGGAAAGAACTGTACGGTCTGCGCAAAAAGCATGCGCGATATGAATGTAGCTTTTGATTCTCTAGCGCTGGGTACTGAATTTTTCAGACTGTCATAAGCTACTTCTGTAATCTCATTTTGTTCTGTCATCCCGACGAAATCTAAGTTCAGATCATTACGCTCAATACGACGTATCGAGCTCTTCATTCTTTCGTAAACATGCTCTGCATGGGTTTTTAAATTATAGCGTGTCTGGGCCTCGGCGAAAGAATCTTGTCGAGAAATGCGTTTAGCAATAGTCTCCATATTCGCTCGCATATTCTCCGTATTTTCCTGAGCTTTATTAAACGAGCGTGTAAGTTCAAGTGTGCTGTTTGTATGAGTCAACACAGAAACCTCTAAATTGTGTAACTGAGAATTGGTTTCAGAAATGGACTGTTGGATCTCTGATACTCGACTACTCAATTGTGCACCTTTCATGGTATTGTACACCGCTACACCTCCTAAAAAAATTAAGCCAACAGCGCCTGCAACAACGCCAACAATTAACGGTAGCAAACGTTTATTACGATGATGATGACGATGGTGCGTGACGACAGATGCTTTTTGACCAGAGAACCGTGTGTTGTTAGTAGAATTGAGAAAATCAGAAAGCGAGGATTGACTATAAATGCCCTCCTGATCGAATTCATGATGAAATGACTTCTGATAATTAACACACAAACTCAATTTTTCTACTTGCTCCATCGGTAGAACCGAACAAAGATATTGAGTTACAGGTACAGTAACAGTCAGACCAAAAATATCATCTCCCTCATAATAATATCCAACTCGACTAAAAATGACTCCGTTTTCTTCGTGAACGACTAAATTCTGTCCGTTGATTAGTTGATTGTAGATGCTGTCTTTCGGTTGCGGAGAGGATAAGTCATTGAGTGGAACAGAGTGAATGTCTGTGAATAGATTGAATATTACGAGGACGAGAGAAAATATCGGTTGACGTTGATCAATCACCCACATCACGGTCGTGTTGGTTATCTATATGTGTGTGTATGCTATTAGAAGTCAATTAAAAATATAACTCACCAATTTAAAGCGAAAATAAGAAGCTGCTCGTGAATAAAGGTAATAGAATATGAATACCAAATTGGAATGGGGAATAAGTTTACAGCGAGGTGTTTATATAGACGTATATAGTGTGGAGGAAAGGCGTGTGAAAAATGATCATGGAACGTATGAAATTGGGTTACACAGTGTGTAATACGCACCGTGACGTCTCTAATTTGAACGAATTGTCATTGTATGATGGCTACCGCAGTGTGAAGAAGTGATGCATTATTTCACTCAACAATTATTTTCTCGCTGTGATCTCTATTTCGTCTGGCACAACAGCTAAGAATCGTAGAATGATAGCATCACTAATTGGAAAGAAATTAGCGACGTTTCACAGATATACACAAGCTATACGTATATCGGTAGAACAAATATGTTTCAATCACACAGCTTTCTCTATAATTATTCATGTGTATCATCTGGAACCTTTGAGTACTAATTGAACATCTGGTACATAAAAAAGAAATCATTTTTAAAGCAGTTTTCTTTCTTTTTTTCAAGTATATAAGTCCTACTTTTAATCACACATGAAGTTATCTCTTTTAAACACAAAAATATAATATATCATGTCAAAAAAGTGGTCATCTATTTCAAAAATACAGAGAATGATGAGTAAGTTGCATCTTGAAAATGAGATGTGCATTACATCTGAACTGGTTTTACCAATGGTATTCGAAAATCAAGCGCTCAGCCGTACTTCAGATCATCAGCAACAAAATCGTGATCGCTCACGCTTTTTCTACAAACTACGTCAAAAGAGAAAGCAACGTCGTCTTCAGCATGGTCAGATTCGTCGAGATTCTCATTATCAACACCACGCACAGGAAATTGAAAGAACTGATCAAAAGCAACAAAAAGAACCTAGATTAATCACCGCCATAGTTGGTTCGTCTATTGCTCGAAATATTGTAGTGCATAATATAGAAAGTAGAACAAATGAAGTGCGTCTTCGATTTCAATCTGGGAGTGATTGCGCCGAAGCTCTGGGTTGGTTACAATCGACTGATGGTCAATTTTTCATGCGCGGTGTGCATCATTTAATTTTCATTATTGGCACGAATGATCTTCATCGAGTTGGAGCTTTTGAAACAGTCCAACGTATCGACTATACGATTGCGACAGTTCGATGTTTGTATCCGAAAGTAAGTATTGTTTGGCAACTGCTTCAACAACGAACACGAAAGACTTGGCTTTTGTCTGAAGGACAATCAGTTTTGAATGAGATTGAAAGATGTAACGTGTTCCTTCTTGACCTGGCTACCAAAAGAAACTTTGAGACTATTCAGCCAAAGATTCCCATTGAATATATGTATGACGGTCTACATCCATCGAAATGTGGGGTTGAAATGATGGAAGCAACCATTCGGAATCATTTACAAAAATACAAAACGGTTCATTCTTTTTTATATTCTACTGATCCTTGTTGCTTTCGAAATGATGTATATCTTCCACCGTTGATGTCAATTAAATTTTAATAGTTGACTATATTTAACTTGTCTGTATAAAAACTCTCTTTACGTATTTCTTCTTGCTCGTTCACAATATACTATCAAAAAGAAACATGTATATATGTGGGATTGAGAAATAGAAATTCTTGAATTAAATTGATCAAGGAGTACCTTTGTATCGTATTGACTAAAACCAGTCTTTTGATTGAAGAAACAATAACTTGGGATGCTACAAAGTTCATATTAAAAATTTCTCCTTATATATACTGAGTGGTACAGTAGTCTTGAGGTGATATTGAATCTTATGTGTTTACATTCAGATATATACCGATTAAATCAATGATTGATTATTGCCGACGTATTATGAGGATTCAAAAGCTTGTGTTTTATATTGATTGGTTAGGTATGCAGGCATTATCAAGTTAGTTCAGAACTAAAACGAATTTGTTTTTCACGAAAAAGTTTTTAAAAGATAGGGCTCATCGAGCAATTGTTCAATAGTTTACATCCAATGAGAAAAAAAGGGAGTAGAAGAAAAAGAGACATTGATACGTGTTGTATATATACAAAGAGGAAAGGTCAATTGAGCGTTAGTCATTTATCTGAATACATTCACCGTTCGTCAATTTCATCATTTCACATTCTACAGGGAGTACAAATCGAGTAGAGGAGCTTAACCATTCCAAGAAAATGAAAAGAAAAAATCCGTTTAGTTCGTCTGTAACAAGTAAACATAATTCAGATTCCACAGAATATGTAGAAGAAAATTCTTCTGATCACCAGTCATCAGACAAAGTAAAAGAAAATAGCTTAGATAAGCCACTGAATCAGAATGATCAAGAGGATAAGCAAACCACCTCGAGTCGAGTTACTAAAGAACAATTTTTAGCTGCTGCAAATGAATTAGAACTGGATGAAAAACAGCTCAATAGGGAAACATGGCGCTTTAATGATTTCACGCGCTCTGATGAATCCGTTTGGGGTCGTTTAACACTGAAACTGAAATTAAATCAAACAGAAAATGTGCGCCATTCTTTGTACAATTTTTGGCGACGACATCGTGCAAAAATAGTAGACAATCTATCTAAAAAGTGGATGGATTCTGCCGAAGAAACGAATAAATCAGAGAAAGTAAATGAAGGTAATTTTTCTTCGTTGAGCTCAGAAATTAAACCGCTAATGTCTAACGCGTCAGTTCCATATCCAGCGACTCGCTCGGCAGCCCAACAACAGTTGTACCTTCCATCAATGATTGAAGCATCATTTATCCTGAGTCGTAAAGAATGGAGAGAGATATACGATCGTTCGGAACGTCGAATGATATCTGAATGGACAAGTACTATCTGTACGAAAGTGTGCTCTTGTAACTTTCAATGTGTCTTAGCTTTTCTAGGTAATAAAATCGGTGTCGAAAATTCTCGCAAAACAAACTGTCCCTTTTTCCGTGCGGTAGCTGTTTGTAAGATAGGCTCATGCGAGCGAACATTTGAAATTTTAATCAGAGATGAACCGCCGGTAACAGAAAGTGTTGTTTTTCTCATACGAGCCGTTGGACAGGAGAAGCATGATGAAACTGATGAAGCTGCTTCACGCAAACTGACTGGAAAAAACAGACTCATCGTAGGAGAGGCAGCTGATATAGTCGGTCCTCTAAAGGTATTTCATCAAAAACTAGAAGATGCAGATAAAGAAATGTTATCCGCTCGTAACTTCACTGGTTGTGAGACTTTAGAAGTGATAAAACATGCAGTAGCAGATTACCGGAAAAAATATAAACTTGACGAAGATATTTTCCGAGAATGCCGAGTGAGACAACAATTGCTCGAAGATATCGATGTCGTTTCTGCTAAAATAAAAGGTTATGTGCAAGTTATCGGTGAGAAGCCGTTTCGTCTACATCTCACATCAGAAGCACAAGTTTTAAGGTTTATTACATATTGTGCAAAGAGTACTTACTCACATGTGCACATCGATGCAACTGGATCGATCGTGAAGAACCTACCTCATCAAAAGATAGTTCTATTATATGCCGCTGTTTTCAAAGACGGAAACGATCCAACCAACACAATACCGTTAGGCCATGCTATTCTTGCAGATCACACTGCAACGAGTATTAGTTATTTTATTGGCAACCTTCGACAGCATGTCGTCACATTAGTAGATAAAGTTATTCGACCATCCTTTTTTGTAACAGATTTTTCTCCTGCACTTTTCAATGCTATTCTACAGACATTCAACCATGAAGATATTCGTAGTCATTTAAAGCGATGTTGGAATGTTGTATTGCGAAAGTATGACGCTAAAGAACTCCGTTCTCGATCATTTTTGCGCTTTTGCTGTTCGCATGTTATGAACGCTTGTGCTAGAAGTCTATCTGCCGCAAATGTAGCAAAAGGGATTAGGAAAAAAGTGATGCACGTATTTGCTTTGTTTATCAATTGTGGTGAATTAGAGTTATCATTTAGATTCTTAAAACGCGTTTTACATGTATTTGGTAATCCGTATGCTACTGATGCCGAGAATGTACTTCAATGTTTTTTAAACGCACCATATGATATGGAAGGCATTCCTGAAAACATAGGTTCTTGTGACTTCGAAGTGGCAGATGATTCGATAGATCCTTTAGACGAAGTAGACGAGAATATGCAGGGCAGTAAAGCAATCATTCACGGCTCGCCCTTTAATACTGAAGCCATTCGTCGATTCCCTGAGATCTCTGAGCTGTTGAATTCGAGAAAGAAATATGAAAACATAACAAATCCCCTTTTCTGTCGTCGAATTATTTATGTCGTTTACAAGTGGTTTGCGTATTTGCCTTTATGGACATCTTTACTTACCGAATTTGAAGATCGATATGCGACTGATCGAACGCCGGTTGACATTCGAAAATATGAGCAAGGTCGTTTATCGAATGCTCAAATAGAGTGTTATTTTGGTATTCTGAAAGATTCAATTCTTCAAAAAAAAACAAACCTGCGACCAGCAGAGGTGATTGTATCACTTTATCGAAGCGTTCAGGTTCACCTGAAAGCGGACAAATTTGGAGTTGGTCAAATGGCAAAAAATCGAAGGGGAAAACCTAAAGATGTGAATATAGAGGAGTCTTGGGGAAAGAGAAAAGCTCAGAAGAAAGAACGAAATATACATTTTTCTCGAATTGATAAATGTAAGCAGAAGCGACTTGTACACAAAGCGACCAGTCCTAAGCCGAAAGCAGTCAGACACAGAGCTGAAACAGTGAGTCCTGTATCCAAAGCGATCAGTCCTCGGTCAAAATTGGTTAGGGAAAAATCAGAACCGATCGGCTTTGATTTACAACCCAACGACTTTGACAACTCGTGTCTCCTTATTAGCAGTATACAGAACAAAACTGATCATATCTTGAATAATATAACTAACGCTGCTGTACCAAACTATCCACCAGACTTTTCCACATCAAAGTCTGCAGAAAGCTTTTGTGGCAGTAATCTTCTGATCGAACAATGCTTTTCGGATAATTCACCAGTGGTGTCACCTTTAAGTCAACCAGTCTCTCCGTTCAATATTTTTTCAGCTCTGCAATGTGAAAGTTCCACGAATGTTTTATCTCGTCAGAAACCAATGAAAACTTTAACAGAAAATGAATTTCAACTACAAGATTATTACGAAAAACAACAGGAGAAACAGAACAATGAAAACACAGATGGTATTTCACCAAAGAAAACTCTAATTTCTAATTAACTTACCTATTTTTAGTGACGATAATAAAGAGTACTTGTGGCCGTAGGCCATCATCAGAAAATGTTTTTGAAATTGAAACCCTTGATTCAACGTCAAGTCGTGGCATCCATCGAATGGTGACTATTGATCAATGTCCTCTTCTATGGCCGGCTTTCGGTATCTATAAGAAGAGTTTTGAGGGTAAGGTTTTATTTTTTGTATCTTCTATTTATTATTGCATAAGTTGCGCCTTTTCAGGTAAAGTATATTCGGTAACAAACACTTGCAGCATCGATGCTGCTTTATTTGCTATATACGTTATATTTTGGACCGAATCATCAATAAAGAGTGTTATTTTAAACTCCGAAGCTGAACCGTTTCTGTCTCTCCGCAAAACTTTTGCATTGGTTGAATCGAACGGTTGGGACGAGGCAAGATTATATTGGCTTACCAGTCATAGTATTCTCGCTCATCAACAGTCCAATCAATA